GAACGCCCTTACGGTAGGTGGTTTCAAAATCAAAATCCTGGAGGATCTCCAACCATCGGGACAATTGTCCCGATGGCTGTTGAACTCGCAGGGCGTACTGCAGTGCCGCATGATCTGTGCAGACGGTGAAATGCCGACCGTACAGATATGGGCGATACTGTTGGATGAAATAGACAATTGCCAACAGTTCCCGACGGGTGACACAATATCTTTGCTCCGCCGGAGACAACACCCGACTGCCGTACGCAACCACCTGTTCCACGCCGTCAACCACCTGGGAAAGCACGCCCCCAATACCCGTGTTGCTCGCATCGGTGTCGAGCAAAAAAGGCTTAGAAAAATCGGGGTAAATCAAGGGAGGAGCTTTTACCAGGGCATCCCGAAGGGAGCAGAAAGCAGCCTCCTCCTCCTGACCCCAGTGGAACCGAACCCCTTTTGATGTTAAAGCGTGTAGGGGTTTCGCAATCGTCGCAAAATCTGCGACGAACCGTCGGTAATACGACGCGAAGCCAATGAAACTCCTGACCTCTCCCACCGAGGTGGGAGTCGGCCAGGAGCTGACGCACTGCGTTTTGGCGGGATCGATAGCAATACCTGAGCGCCCGACGATGTGTCCCAAATAACGCACCGAATCGCGTAACAGATGACAGTTTTGGGGTTTGAATTTCAAATTAGCAGCCCGCATCTTTAGGAAAACCGCCCGCAACCTCTGGAAATGTTCGTCAAAAGTTTTACTAAAGACGATAACGTCATCCAAATAAATCAGGCACGAATCCCATTGCAATCCAGCCAAAACCAATTCCATCAAACGCTGGAATGTTGCCGGCGCTGAGTGGAGTCCCATCGGCAACCGGTTGAATTGGAACAGGCCGTGCGGTGTACGGAAAGCAGTTTTAGGCTTTGAATCATCGTCCAGAGGAAGCTGCCAGAATCCCGAAAGTAAATCCAATGTGGAGAAGAATCGCGCTCCCGCCAAGGCGTCCAGCGATTCGTCCATCCGTGGGAGCGGGTATGCGTCGGCAACCGAAATTTTGTTAAGGCGCCGAAAATCAACGCAAAACCGCAACGAGCCGTCCTGCTTTTTAACCAGGACGATCGGCGCTCCCCAAGGGCTGGTGGTGGAAGGAGAAATGATGTCGGCGGCTAACATGTCATCAATAGCCGATTTGACATGGTCCTTTTCGGCGGGAATTAACCAAAACGGATTCTGGCGTATTGGCGCGCTGTCACCCATATCAATATGGTGACGCAGCAGATGAGTGCAACCCAAATCGTATTTGTCCCGACTGAAAACGTCGGAAAATTCCCGCAGTAGCGTTTTAAGCTGTTGACGCTCTGAATTTGACAGGTCCGTCGATCCCGCACAAAGCGCCTCGAGCCACCCTTCATCGCTGTCCGAATGTGGTCACGGTGCAGGGACAGCACTCACGTGATTCGCGACAGGTTCCTCACAGGGCACCGGCGTCGCGTGAGCAAGCACGGTCCCCTGCGGGACCACCACCGTCTGCGAGCCCACATTGAGGACCGCGATGAAGGGGTCTCCATCCCCTCTTACTATGGTCTGGGCCGGAAGTAAATGAGGTCCACTAACCCCGGCCCTAGATGGCCCCAGCAGAACCCCTTGGGCCCCAATGCCCTTAGCGAAGGGCCGCCGAAGTTTCAAAGGAACCAACATTTGTGCCCCCGGAGGAACGCGCACCGTTCTATCTACAAACGCCAGCACCGTTGCGAACGCCGTCCGACGGGAGCTCAATGCATCCCTGGTCGATTAAAATCCTAATCGGCATTTTGGCCAGGAAGTCCGTCCCCAGCAGGCACGGAACCGCCAGCGAGGAGGAAACAAAAATCGGCCCAGACAATTTAATATCCCCGATACAAATTTGGGCTCGAATCTGTCCGATGATGCCAAGTGAGCCCCCCGTTAGAAGCAAAGAATGGCACGTTAACAGGCATCAAAGGACGGCTATGGGCAGGGAGAATATTGTAAATTAACTCCGAAATAATGGTCGCCGATGCTCCCGTATCGACCAGGATGCGCACCTCGACCCCGTCGTTGTGCCCCACAACGGCCGACGACCCCGACGACGCGGCTACTACACGATGGGCCAACACGGACCACTGGCTGGGTTCAATCTGAGTACCCAGAGTGGTGCGTGTTGGTGCGATGATGCGCGATATTGGCCCCCAATCGGTGCGGTGTATGAGTGTGTGGCGGGTGTGTGCGTGGGCCAAACATGTGAGGTGCCGCGACTCGCCGGGTTATGATGATGGAGCTTGGGAAGAGGGCCGGCGTCCTGTCGAGGTGTCGTTCCGCGCTGCCGAGGAGAGCGGCACCCCGAGGCGACATGGCCCCGGATGCCGCAGTTGTAGCAACGCGGGAGCGCTGGTGACGACAACGGATGATCAGGATGGCTCGAGCCGCCCCGGTCCGCCCGTACTCCCGCTCCCTGCTGCCGTTGATGGTCGATGGCGCAGATCTCCTCCGCCGGGAGGGTGGCTGCGGCCACGGTACGCCCGCTCGCCGCCTTGCTGGCCTTGCGTCGTTGCGCGAGCAGGTTTGCGTGGAGGAGTCGTGCCGCTTGGAGGGAGCACATCTCCGCGTCGTCCTGTGCGACAGTGACGATCTCCAAGTCGTCCGCCAGCAGGAGTATCTTCTCCGTAACCATGGCGTCGACACCTTCGTTGTCCATCCGTGGAAAGGCCGCCTTTGCCAGTGCCAGTAGGCTTGTGCGGTACGCCAGAGGCGACTCCTTTGCCCCCCGCTGGCGATCGTAGAAGAGTTGGCGACAGTCTGACGGCGGACCGTAAACTGCAGCCAGCACCTGCATCGCCGTCTGCAGCGTAGAGCGCCTCTCCTTCGGTGCCGATGTTAAAGTGGCGAGGGCGTCGCTGTCGAGGAGTGCTGGCAGCGCGCGGAGAGCCTCGGCGTCCGTCCACTTCGCCATCTCCTGGTGAGCGAGGAAGCGCCGCTGGAAGCCGCCCCAGTCGCCTTCCTCGCCAACAAATTCTTTGAGTGGAGGCAGTCGCTGATGTAGCGCAGCGGCTGCCGCAGAAGGTCGCCCTTCCTCGTTCCCCTCACCCGGCTCTGCTTCGGCGCGCACGACCGATGGCATCGCCGGTCGCACCCGTGGTGACGTCCCGTCCGTTGGCGATGACGCGGCAGGTACTGTATGCCCGCCGTTGGACGCGATGCTCAGGCCGGCGACGCCCTCAACTGCAGCTGCGGTGATGGCGGGATTTTCAAATTGGTGTTCCGCCAAAATGGCGGGAAGGCGCTGTGGTCGTCGGCTTTCGTCGCCCCGTGGCGGTCCAGCAGCCCCCAGCTGAGTGATGTGGTCCAGCATGCTGGCAGCGGCGTGCAGCAGCTCCATCAGCTTGGCGTGCGCCTGCCTCAGCCCCTCTGCCGACACCTCCCCACCCTCCTGTTGCTGCGGCGTAGCCGTATCTGGCCCCGACTACTCCGTGCTCTCTTCACCCGTCCCGGGCTCTCCGACTGCAGCGGTGTCCTCCGCCCCCGGTATCCTGACTCGAGCTGTCCGGCGCGTGTCCATGTTCGTAGATTTTTACTTCTGACACCAGATGTAATACCGTTGACGACTCTTGACGCCGGAGTTGGAGGCACACGGGTTTATTTCACAGCACCCCAGTGGGCATATAACACTCGAGGGGGTATCGGCCCCCTCACCCGGCTAGCTGGGAATACACACGCTAGCTACCCTAGCCTGCCTCTTAGTCCTCCACCAACGGGCTAGGGGAGGCTATCTGGCCCGACACTGGTAAGTCGGGCCCGGTACCCGGAGTCCCAGACCTGCTCTGACAAGAGCACCGGCTCTGGCTCTCGGAACCACGCCGCTGGCTCGATCCTGTTCGGCCCTGATAAGGACGTCGAACTAGGGGAGTCCAGGGCTCTAGCTAAGATGTCTTCAGTCTTCTCGTTAGCTTAACATTTCCCCCCGAGCCCTCTGACACATCCCCTTTTATACTCAACCCCCGCTGAGGGGTGGGGCCCCGGGCTGCCCGGTGCGGACGTCGTTGAGAGCACCCCCCCGTGCACTCACGTAGCCCCGCCCACTGTGTTTGTTTCCCATAAGCTGCCATGCATAACGGCTCTCTCTCTAACACCCCTACATATAGTCGAAGGTATAGAGTGGTGTATAGTAATACAGTATATAATTTAATGTTGGGTCTGTCTATGGCAGTATATAGTACGGTGTAGACTCGTGTGATATAAGAGAATAAAGTTTAGCTGGAAGCATATTATATTTTTTGTGACGTAGAATTGTAATGTATTACTTACTGTTAGTAGCTCAGCTTATTGGAGAGTATATTTAGTATACTGATGATACTATGTAGTTTATACTTTAGTTGTTTACGTGGTGGTTTAGTTACTGCCGCTACATACTATTAACATTCCTTCTCTTTATCAATGTTACCCCTATCCCCTTCCTTCGATGCTGCTAATTCTACATAATGCACGCGCATAATGACTTTAAACTCCCCGCCAAACCTTCTACGCATTTCACAAGTAGTACTAATCGCATATCTGCATTTCCAATAATTATGCTAAATTTCTCTTGATTTGCAAATTATTTTGTCAAGGCGCTCTTTCCCCTCTCCATCCCAGCTTAAATAGTCGCTCCAAGCCTGGGGTGTGTCATTCAGACTCTGTCTTCTCGACAGACCTGTTCTCCACCTGAGGACGGCTGCTTGCGTTGTGGCCGAAACGTCGTGAGAATTATTTTATTATGTTTTATTTTTATTATTCTATTATTTCCATTCTACGTGAATTTACCGAAAGAACCAAGAAGATGAATCCCTGCAGTCACGAAAGCTTTAAATCGAAAGACAACCACTGTTCGCTTCCCCACAAAGTGGCTACTCATGTTATCGACCCCAGAGTGATGATGGGCCAAGTCAACCCCCAGTAGGATATTAATGTAGCTATTACAGCTCTGCACAAAAAAGTTGTTCACAAATATGATGCCGTGTCTGTTTTACAGGTGAGCACAACCTGCGTGTGACGGAGAGCTCCGAACAACACGTCCCAATTAAGAATATCGTAGTTCACAGCCGCTATGACCCAATCACCTTTGACAATGACCTTGCGCTTCTTCAATTAGAGCGGCCCTTAAATTTCTCGAGGCTGGTGCTTCCGGCCTGCTTGCCTGAGCGAGACTTTGCTGACAAGGTTCTGGTGGAAGAACAGTCACGGATTAGTGGATGGGGGAGCTTGCACCACCGTGGTATCAAGGCAAGCACCACACAGATGTTTTTGAAATACATTATTCAATTAAACTCGATATTAAGCGCACACATCACAATTAGCACTGACACTGCATTTTAAGAGTAATACAGTCATTGTAGCTAGGGTTACCACCTGTCCGGGTTTGGCCAGGAAAGATTGTGAATTGGCATCTGTTTCCAGGTGGCAGGAATTAATTGAGATCTGGTTGTGGTACTGTGTTGAACGTTGTTACAAATGTAAAGACGACTCCGACGCACTTGTCCTGGGAAGGTTTTCTTTATTCATGAGCAACGTGCTCAAATTCGGAAGGCGGAGACCACACTGCAGCAGCCCCGAGTCTGTCTCCCTTATATACGGTCCGAGGCCATTCCCCCATTCCCGAACCTTCTTGCTGGTTGTAGACCGCTCGCTTTACCAGCTGACTCCACTGTCCTCTTTCGTCACCTGGCCACGCTCCTATTCTCGATCATTCCCGTATCCACCAGTTCCTTTGTACTGCAGGCTGACTCCCCTGTCATTACCTCCCGTGGCCAATAGTCTACTTACACCGTAGGTTGACTCTACTGTCATTACACAATATACTGCACAGTTTTGATAGACCTAGGCTGAGAATATGTACGGGTTTAGTGTGTATAAAAAGGTGGCAAACCGAGCTATGGTTTGTAAAGTTCCAGTCAAAATTTTAACTAAATAAAATGGTATCTTCTGAATAAAGAACACAGGACACATTTATCGTTATAACTATGTGGAACCGGACTGCTGAAAAAGACTCAGGTCACAACCAAGTTATTAAATAATTATAATTGAAGTCCAGAGCTCAATAAGTGAACATTGAAAGTAGCTACCAGACACTCCGATACATGGAAGCTAAATCATCCTGAAGTGAGATAATAAAAACACAACAGATAAACGTTGGAGGCAGAGTCTAACTCTTGTTGAGGTGAGGGTTGGTAGATCTCTGCAGGTATTAAGGCGCCATACCTTGGCTTTTCAGAAGGTGGTACAGAACATGTGGACTAATATGATATATCCTCTTTGGTTCTTTAGGTAAAATCACGTAGAAAGAAAATAAATTAAATAATAATAGAATACGCCGTTTCGATTACAACACAAGCAATCATCATCAGGTGAGAATGAGAAAACGAACATAGTAAACTTAGAAATATAATGCAATACAACACAGAGAGTCGGCTAACACAACAGTCAACACCCTACCTGGTTGATTACGTTCTTAGAAAGATTTATAAATTTGAGAGAGAGACAAAACACAGACACGGAGACACATAGACATACACACAAGCAGACAGAGACACACAGAGACACAACATAGACAGAGACTCTGTCTCTGTCTATGTTGTGTCTCTGTGTGTCTCTGCTCTGTGTGTGTCTCAAAAGCCTAGTCTCAAAAGAAAGCTGTCTCTGGTGTGGACCAATCAGTTTCAAGGACAATGCATATATTATCAGAGTATGTTTTTTGTTTGCATTCTGACCATAAGCATTGTGGTTAATGTAGACATGATTCCTTGTAAAAGGTTTACGTTTGGTGTTTTAACATCTCAACACATGTTTTGTTGCCAGAAAAAAGGGGAAAACCCTATTATCATAGTTATATTATTAATTGTGATTCACTAAGCGTTTGAGTTGGATTCCCAACTTGGATTCCTTTCTGTATGGAGTTTGTATGTTCTTTCCCTGTTCCACACGGGTTTCCTCAAGGTTCTCCAATATCCTTCCCTAGCAAAAAATAATTTCAAACACAAGTGGTATTAACCAGCATTAACCAGTACTACTGTCAACCTGGGAAGACCCTTCTGAAAACGCTTCTTGAGGCTTTCCTGGGTAAACAAGCACAATAAATAATGATACTGTTGGATGATATGAATATGACTTGCTTGACTACAATGATGATGTCATGTGGATGAATGATAATTCACGATGTAATACGATTTTTGTCCCTGGGTAGTAAGTGTTATTTTTTATTGCTTATGCCTAAAAAGTATAGAAAATGGATATTATTCCTCACAAACTTTGCTTTTGTGACCGGGACTTTATGTGAATGAATGACACAAATGCACACGTTTTCTCATTGAAAATAGGTAAATTTCAAAATATCACTGTCCTGGTCACAAAAGCAAAGTTTGTGGGGAATAATAGCCATTGTCTGTACTTTTGAGGCATAAGCAATTAGGAAATAACACTTACTACCCATGAACAATACAAACATTTGTTACAAGTGTTATTAATGGAGTGAATTATTAACTTTACTTTTGTGTCCTGGTCACAAAAGCAAAATTTGTGGGGAATAATAGCAATATTCTGTACTTTTGAGTCATAAGCAATTAGGAAATAACACTTACTACCCAGGAACAGCATTTGTTTTGTTACACAGTGATAGGTGATACAGAAATACGAAGGTGATAATATTGACAATGGTGATTGTCATGTTTACCGTGGATATAAGTTTGTGGATAAGTGTTGTTTTCCACAGATAATGGAATACTTTGCTATCTGTGAATTTGGTTTGCTCCCATGGAGTCCCCGACCATCACAGATAACGTGCCTTCTCTAAAGTCAACAAGTGCCAGAAACAGACCCAACAAAGAGATGGTTTAAAAAAATATGAGAAATCGTTACGATGCGAATTGCCATGCAATTATCTTCCTGTAACTGTGCGTTTAGTTATAATTGGTGGTGTCAGCACAGGGTTGTGTACATCCAGAGTTAGGTGTTAATAAGTGATGATCTCAGTCTCGATGCTAATATAGTATAGATAATTCATTAACATTGCCGTGTGGGTCGTGGTATTGCTTGTGCACAGGCAACGGTGTTGCAGATAGCGGAGGTCCCCTTCGTCGATACGCTGCGATGCAAAGAGTCCAGCAGTAGCTTGGTGACGAAAAACATGTTCTGTGCCGGTTATTCCGACGGCACCAAGGACGCGTGCCAGCACGACAGTGGTGGACCACATGTCACCATCTTCAAGGATACGTGGTTTGCAACAGGGATCATAAGCTGGGGCGAAGGTTGCGCCCGCAAAGGCAAATATGGCGTCTACACGCGTGTCTCCCGCTACCTTCTGTGGATGCACCAAGTTATGCAACGGGCTAGCATCTACCAACTCGAGATTCCCACTCGAGGCATTCGATTCACACGCAACCCTCTGGCTTAACACGTGAACAGAAGTGTTATATAATCTCTGTAATTTAATGGATTGCAATTACCGTGAATAAAAGCACGCAACCCCCTGACTTAATACGTGAGCAGAAGTGTTATATAATCTCTGTAATTTAATGGAATGCAATTACCGTGAATAATAAAAGCAGAACATTAATGTTTACGACTGAGTTCCATCAATGTGACACTACGTGTTTTCAAAGGAAAAAATAACTATTATTTTAAAATTGTTCTTTTGCACATGTTGCAAATCACTAAATAATTTCAGCTTGTGACAGCTGAAAAGCTCTTTTTCATAAGCGACCTGGCTGCAAATGATAACTCAGGGAAGTGGAACTGTATGGCAGCCAAATACTCAAAAACGTATGTTTATAAATGTGGATAGAAAAACCGGAGGACACGGAGAAAAATCCACCCAACCACGGGGAGAACATGCAAACTCCAAATATACAGGGATCGAACCAACGACCTGCATACCAGCAAAGGTAGTTAATATCTCGTCATCGTTGCGACCATAAATTCCATGCATCCAAACATACGCGGCTAACCTAATAGGATATGAACCACTGACCTTGTTCACCAATTATTTTAGTCGACTGCATTTCAGAGCACCAATTTTATTAGTTTAAATTCTGGTTGGGGGTTTGACTCTGGGATTGATCAAATGAGTACCTCAACCACTAATTCACTCCTCACCGTATGTGGAATTTCCACCAAAATAAACTGTAGGTAAGTAGTGGCTGGGGTTGGAAAATAGGTTTGGATTTAAAGACCAAGCTCAGGTGTAGTATAATAACCTAGAACAGTGGTTCTTAACCTTTACTGCAGCCTTACACCCCTTTGGTTCTCAATAGTTTAAAAATATATGTTAATACATAGGTTCGATGAAACAATGTTTTACGAGCTCGTGCTTAATTTGTTTCGATTATTTACCCCATTAAAAAAATCTGGCATGTCTCACCACCAGAAAGGGCATCTCGAACCACTGACTTAGATTTATAAGGCTCCCTTAAGCAATAGATCTCGGAGGGCCATGCATATAATGTAGAAAAACAAGTGGGGAGTAACCGGGAAGGGAACCACTAGCGAGACAAGAAAGACAACGAGAGAGAGGCCATTATAAGTAGGCGGGTCACCATCGACTGCATGTACCTGACCTCCAAGGGCAGGGAATTCCAGAGCCTGAGTGCCATGCAAACCAAAGCCCTGATGGTCACCCCAGGTCTGAAAGGTGGAGCGGGGTTACGCAGAGAAGGGCACGATCAATGGATCTCAGAGATCTCGGTGGAGTGCGTGGCTGAATCAACTTAGAGGGTGTGTGGCTGGATAGTGGTGTGGCTGTATAGTGGTGAGTGTGGCTGAATAGACAACTGGATGTATGGTGGATCAGGCCCCGTTTAAAGATTGAAACATCAACAGAACTCTTAATAAATTCAATGCGGATTTGAACTGGAAGTCAATGCAGGAAACGTGAGCACAGGGCGAGACGTGGTCCCGAATGGGTTTGCGAGCGAGCTCCGTGGCAGCCGCGCTTTGTGGACGGACTGCGGTCTAATGGAGGAGGAGGCCACTCCATCACTCGGTGGAGCAGCGAACCCCGACCGGGGCCGTCAGGGGAGGGGTCTCGTTCATCCTGCACAATACTCGGCTCCTTCAAGGTTAGGTTTCAGTTAGTGGGAGACCATTTGCGTCGTCTGTCGTTTGAAGCAACAAAAAAACGAAGGCGATTTTTTTTTCTCTTCGAGAAATTTGAGGGGTAGGACTCGGGTCGCCCTCTCCTCTGGGCAACAAAACCCTCCTTGGAGCGTCCTCAGGGGCAGAGGAAGCATCGCACAGCTGTCGCGGCGGAGGAAGAGCAGGAGAGAGCCTAGATGTATAAATGAGGTAGATGTATAAATGTGTTGTGTGGTAAGAAGGACGCTGAAGCCAGTCGTGTAGGGGCTGACACCAACTCTTTATTTAAGGGCTTGCACCTAACTCGGGGGAAGGGGTTAACACAGAGTTATTAACGAATCTCCCCAGGAGAAGGGTACTGGGAGTTCCCTACACCCCACCAGGCTATCAGGCTCTTCCCACAGCACTGACTGAGGGTTCATCCAACTCGGCCAGCCGGGTAAAGCAGCCCTTTAGCCTGGCTCTCAACCCTCTATCCCGGAGCCCCCTACTCCCCTAACACTCACTCCTCTGGCTCACCGCGAAGACCCCGTCTACGTCACGGGTCTCCCCTCAAATACCCCGGGTGGCATGACGTCACTTTTCCTTGACGGCATTTCCCCAGAGGCGAGTGTGACCTGACGTCTGCACTCCACTCCTCAACGAATGTATAAACGCTTATTGACACGGGTGCGTCCGTTACGATTATTTCCGAACTTATTTTTAATATCCTACCGGTTAGTTGTCGTTCTCCGCGCCCCTTCGAAGTTTCGTGTGTTGCGACTAACGGGGGTTCGCTCGGTATAATCGGCCAAATTCACGCGTATATTACCATGTGGGATATTAAATTGTCAGGGCCGATTCTTGTCTCCTCATCTCTGGCCGTTCCATGCTTGATGGGCACTGATTTTCTGGCCAAAATGCCGATCAAGATACTCATTGACCAGGGTTGCATTGAGCTGCCCTCGGGTCGCTGGTTGGCTTTTCTTCCCCCCGCCACCCGGTTATGCTCGGTTAATACTACGGTGCAGGCACTCTCAGCTGTGACGGTTTGGATTCCGCCGGGCGCGCAGATGTTAGTGCCACTCCGGTACCGTAAGCCTCTAGACCCGCCTGTGACCTCAGCCGGGATACTGTTGGGGCCTTCTAATACGGCGGTGCGTGGCTCGGAGCCTGTGGGAGCGCAGATGCTGGTGGCTGCGGACAGGGAACCGTTTTTACAGGTCCTTAACGCTGGGTTAACGACTTCTGTTGAGCCCCAGGGCACGGTTCTGGCCCATGCGTCGCGGTCGCTTCGGGGTATTGTCGGTGGCGTTGAGGCTAGGCCTAGTCCGACACCACGTTCCAGACCGGATGTCCGATAGATTGACTCCCTGTGCTCGGAATCGACTGAGCTCTCAGAACTTTTTTAGTTACGGTAAATTCGACCTCGGCCGCACGACTCTGCTCAGTCACCGCATTGACACGGGTGATGCCTCCCCCATACGTTAGAACCCCTATAGGCTTAGTTCTGCGGAGAAGGACCACGTTCGGCTGGCTGTTGATAACATTCTGGCGGCCGACATTATTTCACCATCCACTAGCCCATGGGGTGCGCCCATAGTTATCGTTAAAAAACACGATGGAAGCTTGCGCTTCTGCGTCGATTTCCATAAGCTGAATAAGGTCTCTGTCGCTGATACGTACCTATTGCCAAGGATGGATGACTCGCTTGACTCCTTGGCCGGTGCTAGGTACTTCTCCACACTTGACCTCCTGTCGGGATTCTGGCAGTTGCCATTGGACGAGGTGTCTCGACCCAAAACGGCTTTCCGCACGCCGCAGAGTCTGTTTGAGTTCAATCAGCTCCCGATGGGCCTCGATTCTGCACCAGCAACATTCCAGAGGTTGATGGAACTCGTTTTGGCTGGGTTGCAGTGGGACTCCTGTCTGATCTACCTAGATGACGTCATCATCTTCAGCCGCACCTTCGATGACCACCTCAAACGGTTGCGTGCTGTGTTTGGCAAAATGCGGGCTGCCAATCTGAAGTTCAAACTGCGAAAAAGCCATCTCCTGCGAAAATCGGTACGTTATCTCGGCCATATCATTAGCGAATCCGGCATTGCTACGGATCCCAAAAAACTAAGTGTGTCGGGACATGGCCAACCCCCACATCGGTGCGCGAGGTGCAAAGTTTCATTGGTTTTGCTTCATATTACCACCGCTTTGTCGCAAAACTTTCCTCCGTTGCCAAACCGCTCCACGCCTTGACAGCGAAGGGCCAGAAGTTCCATTGGGGTGACACTGAGGAGGACTCGTTCCAGGCACTTCGGAAGGCTCTGGTTGACGCGCCTCCTCTCCGCTATCCCAATTTTTCTATTCCTTTCATCCTTGATATGGATGCGAGCGATACTGGTATCGGCGCTGTCCTGTCACAGGTTGTTGACGGGGTTGAGCGCATTATCACGTATGGCAGTAGAGTCCTCTCGCCGACCGAACAACGCTACTGTGTAACGCGCCGTGAACTGCTTGCCATCGTGTTATTTGTACGCATGTACCGGCTGTATCTGTACGGTAGAGAGTTTACAGTGCGTTCGGACCATGCGGCATTGCAATATGCCCTCCGCATCGACCAGCCATCCGGCCAGTTATCAAGGTGGCTAGAAATCCTTCAGGATTTCTCCTTTCTAGTTGTGTACAGGAAAGGAACCCAGCATTCCATCGCGGATCCCTTGTCTCGATTGCGCTGATTGTGCTTGCCTTTTGGGCTCGGGTCGGTGCCGGCGGTGCAAAATGTGACGGGGTTTTGCACCTTGATCTGGCCGAATGGGATCGCCTTCAGGTTGAAGACGTGCTTGTGATGCATCGCCGTGCCGCTCGATCTGATGGGGGGTCGATCCGGGGCGTGTGGTGCCTGTCATGCTAAGGGATGGGTTGCTGATGCGCCATGAGACACCTCCTGCAGACACGTCCTCGTCGTTCCTACGGCCCTAAACCCTAACACAAAGGGGTAATGGCCCCTTTCACCCACAACCTGGGGAGGCACAGCCTCTGGGCTATCGTACCTACAACTCTGTCTACTCTAGCCCTCCGGCTGGCTAGACCTAGGGGAGGCTGACCCACCGCTGGCCCGGTGGGTCCCTGACCACTGGCCCGTCCGGACCTGGCCCTTAGAAGGACATCAGGCCGAGGGAACCTCAGGGTCCTAACCTCTCGACCACTGGCACCGCACTGAGTCCCGGCCCTTAGAAGGACGTCGGCGGCTTGGGGTCCAGGGTCTTCTTCTCCAGGCGGCTTCTGGCATCGGCTTTAGACGGACTGACTCGTGCTCTCAGGGACCCGCCTTATATACTATTTCTCCCTGAGGGGCGGTGTTCTGGGGGATCGTAGCTTCCGTCAGCCCACTCCCCTCAGAGGGGTTCCAACCATCGTTGGCCCGACCGGTCCGGACCGGTTTCTACCCCTCCCGCTGGTTTCGGCACGTGTGTGTC